CTTAAGTGATGGGGCTAGGTCTGAGCCCATTTTTAGTACTTTAGTTGGCTCGCCCTCATCAACTTGGATCTCCACCAATTGCTCGATGGGTTGGGACCATGTGACCTACTCTTAAACCCTGGGGTCTATGTCTTCAACGGTATTTTGATAGACCATCCTGACATCCTGTCGCCTTAGCTGGTCGTATCCGCGCAAGGCTTCAGAGTATGCAACCCTAGCCTCGTACTGGTTGCTCTTCATCTCACCTACACCGTTTGGGGTAGGAAACTTGACCTTCTGGTGGTAGACGGAGGTTATTGCCCTCAGCGCCTGAAGGGTCGGTCTCCCGATTACGGCATTGTACTGAGAGCCTCCTTTTATTACCACAAAGCTAGCCATTGTCGTAATCTGTCAGGGTTTTTCTCCGGCAGTTATGGGCAGCCGGATAGTCCACTGAGGGATGACGGAGTCCCCGGTGAAACTGTATAAGGGCCTAGACGTCTTCTCCAACTGCTCCTTTCGGATCCCCATCTTTTCCAAGCAATCGGAGTACAGGAGGTCCACCAAACTCCCATTGTCTACCAGGATTCGGCATACAGTGTGGTTCCCAATCACGGCTTCCACTACTAACGCGTCGTTGTGGGGGAAGTGAACTCCGCTGGTGTCGTCCTCATTAAACGCCACGTTGGTACTGCTATATCTTGAGATTTTTGCAATGGAGACACTTCAGAATCTTTCCTGATAAACTCATTTGGCCTCGTGGGCGTAGTCCTTCTGAGATCTCCTTGAGTCTCCTCCTATATAGGGGCCGCCGAGGACAGTTTGTATGACGCCGACAGGTTCTCAGTCCTCTTGGCGCTGGTTCCCCTTTCGGCGTCGACCGTCATTCTGCCCACCGTGGCCATCGTTTCGAGATCTCCGCTTAACTTTGAACTCCTGTAGCCTCCCCTTGCGGATTACTCTCTCGATTTCATCCTTAAGATCGGCGCAATCGTTGGTGTGGTGGCCGACATCGCCGTGGAACCTGCAGAATTTCTTCTGGTTCCTTCGGCTGGGATCTGACCTCATTGGCTCTGGGCGGCGCAGCAGATTTCCGCGGCCGACCTAATTGAAGACCTCCTCGACTCCTACTGTTAGTTCGTGGTAGGAATCGTACCTTTGAAACAGCCGAGGCTTACGGTTCTCCACTTGCCTTAGCTTCTTGGCTTCCGGAGCGCTCGACGTCGCAGCTGGCTGCTTGTCTCCGCTTCCTCCCCCTCGACGCTTCTTCCCATCTTGCTTTGCTGGCGTCGACCCTTGTTCGGCCCCTTCGTTCTTGTCGGACCTGTGCTCAAGGTCGTTTGCGTCTGCCTCCTCGGCGTTGATGTATCATTGCGCTCACGCAAGAAATTCCTTATAGCTGGACGGGGCTTTCAATTCAGCTCTCTCTTGAATGAGGTAATTTTCTTCATGCTAGATAATGCCCCCATCAAGGCTTCTCTGTTAGTTATATACATCGTGGCGGCGACAGCTTTTCCATATCTTGCAAGCCATTCTCTCAATAACTCGTTCGGCTTCTGGTATATCGTCGTCAGGTTCTGCTTTGGGGGGACATATTTTTTAACCCCTATGAATTGGAGGAAAAATGCTTTCTTCAACTCATCCCAGCTTGAGATAGAATTTGGCTTCAGCGTCCGAAACCATCTTCGAGCAGAATTCGTTAAATGGTTCCGGAAGGCTCGACACATAATTTCCTCGGCATACCCGTGTAAGAGCATGTGCTATGTGTACATCTCTAAATGATCGTCGGGATCCCCTCGACCATCATATGGTGAAATCGACGGCGACCTGTATTTATCGGGGAGAGGTGGAGCCATTATCTCTGCGGTAAACGGGTGGTCATGTGTGCAGCTAGGTGTGATGTCGACGTTTACCACCTCAGCCACTCGCCCTATGTTCTTTTTTAGGCCTGCTATGTCCCCTGTGAGTTTTTACTCTAGGCTGGCCATACGTTCCATGATGGCGCGTGCTTCCTCTGTTGAGATGGTCGAGCCAACTACTCTCGACGCCTCTGCCCTTTGACCGTTGGGTCCGCCTCTTGCCTGCCCACCCGCCTGTACTGACCCTGAGTCTCCCGGTGGGTTTCTCCCTGGGTTATGGGGTAGTACCTCGGGGTTTCCCAGACCTCTTGGTATCTGGTCCTCGGGAGCCCAGAGTCCGGTGGGCCTTAAACGGCCACCGGAGGATTGGGAAGGTCGAGGCCTAAGCTGGCCCCTATGATTCTCACTGTCCCCGATTCCTTTTAAGATATGTGGGCGGTCACCATGGTTGGGGTTTTCAGCCACGGCAAGTCCCAGCGGCCTCGGGGCGTCTTCTAAAGGTGACATAGAGTTCCTTTCATCCAAGCGTTCGACCACGGTCATTAGTTCACGTACCAGATCGGTTAAAGTGGTTAGTTGGGCATGCATCTACACAGGATCCGGCCGCGGCACGTCTGGGGCGGGACTTTGTTTCTGACCGGGGGTGGACCTTCCACCATCCCGTCATTCATTGGATGAGTGACGGTCTCATCCATCTGGCTGCCTTGGTTGATGGCCTTAATTCTTCTTCTTGGAGGCATGCTTGCTTACTATGTTGTTGTTGGGGGTCAAACGCATTCGTTCCCTAGTGGAGTCGCCAATTGTTGACGGTGAATTTTTGTTAACAAAAACAGGCTGGGTTACCTTTAGATTTCCCGTTAGATTACCGGCTTTAATATAGGCTATATGTAAGAGTTTTTTGCCGAAGGTGTTTGATGTTTTTAGAGGGATGAGCAATTTGAAAGAATCATACTTTAAAGTAAATGAACACAAGAGATTTTATAGTGGTTCACTCTGTAAAATCAGAGCTACATCCACTGTGGTTGTATATCCCTTTTGAGGTGATTACAATTTACATCAATTGCCCTCTTGTTCTTTTTTTTTTTTTCTCTTTTTTGGATGTCTACCTCCTTTCTGTATGGAGTTTTGCCTCTTTTATATCGGAGTTTTCCTTCGCTGGATGGGTTTTCTTTGTAGGCAGAAGCACTCAAGTGCTCTTCCTTTTTAGGGCCAGACGTAGCCCACTAATAACTTAGAGTTCACTCAGCCAATTAGTCTCCTATTACGGCTCTGTGCGTACCTGTAACCATTTTTTGTCCCCCGTAGGGCGGTTGAAGGGTTTGCAATTAATGCCTGCATTGCAGACATCCCCTATTTCTATACGCAACTTGCCATGTCAGGCTTTTCCCCAAGGAGCATTCCCCCCGTCGCTAGTGTTGTTTAGCCCAATTGTCTTTCTTGGCGGTTGATTCTATGACGATGGATTTTTATGTTGTCAGGTCGACGGTACGATCTGTCGACGCCAAATGAAATTGACGCCCTAAGTTAGACTTCTTACTTGAGCTCTTCGCAACAGAATGAAAGGGAGCCCCAGACGTCGAGGGTTGTCGCTTTGCGAGGAGAAATTAAGGCCACGTGTCATATAGTCATTCTTCCATGCGTCCTCCACATTTTCCCCTACAACAACTACATATCAATTAATCTTCAGCACGGCCAAACTGCATGGGCAAAACACAGCTTGACCAGACTCACAATACAAAAATCGTTATACCTCTATTAAATTTTATTAAAACTATCGTGCTTTTCATAATCTGATATGATTTTGATAATGGTGTTTACTTTCATAACCTGCCACGAAATTCTCTCTCAATTCACAACAAATTTTGCTCATTAACCATGTTCAGTTTCATGTGAAGAAATTTGCAGAAAAAAACAGATTTGCTTATGACCACCCCCAACCCCATCCCCATCCCCAACCATCATCATATGTCTTCTGTGGATCCATTCAAGTTCCCAATTCGGTAACGGATCATGGAAGTTTTAGGAAGTTTTAGATGAAGCTTATGACACGATTACAAAACTCTCATGTTTCAAAGAAAATTTTCCTTATCTAAACCACATATTAACGACAATCCCAAGCTGGTAATAAGGCAAATGTTGTTCAGTCAAGAAAAGTATGTTAGGAACAATGGAAAATTGCAACTAAATGAGAAAATAAAAAGATTCTGGAAAAGGAAGTCTGCTTGTGTAGGGACACAAATCGAATTGAATCATTGGAGTTCGTCATTCAATACTCTGCTGGAGTTGGTTAAACAAGTCAGTTTATAATTGCATCACCATCTACCTACACTCTACAGCTCAACCAACTTTCTGAGTCACAAATTAAATTAACTGAGATTTGATAAATTCATTCAGCTCTATGGGGCCATCAAACCAAATTTTCCACTCGTAAAGAAGTTTTATTTAGTTCAAAAGTGAAATACATGTAATTCATAAGTGCAAGGCTATAAACCTCTACTCTCTCTTTCAGAAGCTTCTCTTGTTGGAATTGTTCAAGCGTAAATATAAAAAACATGAAAGCTAAAGTCCCACGTAGAAAAACTTATAGGGTGGAGTAGCACCTTATAAGCCAGCACACATGTGGGTGGGTTGATAAAGTGGCAACGAGAGTCTCTTGTAACTTGCGCGTGGGCAGTGAGACTGTAGTGGTGATTTTGGCACTTATTAGGCGCACTTGGCATTTGGCATTGACTTAAACGTAACAAGTGGAGCCAGTAGAGAATACTGCTTAAAATAATAATTTTTTAAAAAAAATTCAGATTTCAAAAAATAAATTAATTTGTTTTTTGTTTCTGAAAGGTTACAACCTTTCAGAAACAATGTATTTTTTGAATTTTAAATTAACTGAAAGGATATAACCTTTTTGATTGAGTAGCAGTTTCTCTAACAGGTGTAACTAAAGATTGCCATTAAAATTATAAATAGAGCACACGTTTTCAGAAAGAGATATCCTAAAAATTCATTCTCTTCTCCTTCCCAGAAGAAAAAAAAAAAAAAAAAACGTTCTCTGTTTTCTGTGTTTTCTTCACTTTTGCTTAGTGCAAAAACACTTTGAAAGGCTTATCATATCCTGAAAGCGATTTGCAGTTCAAACTCTTAAGCAATCTCAAGAAGAGAGGGGACAAATAACGCATTAAGGAAAGCGTAATTTCTACATGTTTCAAGTCTTCATCACCAAATTTCCTACATGTCTAAGGGGAAAAAAAGCTAAGAGAATTTCTTCAATGAACCCATTACACAAACGGTTCAAGAATAATGAGCTCATTCCAGTTGTAGTAAAATAAAGCGACTTTGAGACTTGAAGAAGAAAGAAAATGTTTCTATTCTACCACATATTTTCCTTATGAGAAATCCAGCCAAGATAAAAAATAAACAATGAATGAATGAGATCTAGACTGGTGTTTGATGTATAACAAGCTGAGAATGAGAGGACCTTTGGGTACACCGCCTAGAGGCATGTCAAACTTGTTTGAAGTAGTCAGCTGCAGTGCATAAGACAGAAACTAAACAAGTTGTCCCCACGACTTGATTCCAGCTTCGTGTGCTAGCAGCAACAGCTGCCCCCGCTGCCGCACCCGCAACTAGAGAGTTCACCTTTTAGAAGAAAATTAACAATTCCACCAGTCAGCAGGATATCTTTCGATGCAGTATGCATATATAACAATGTTATTCAAAATCTTTGGATGGTTCTTCTCTAATAGGCATGAAAATACATATTCACAGACACAAACATACATATGCTTACAGCTTGGCGCGCCATCTCCTGACTGGTGAGTTAAAACAAACGAAACATTGAAGAATCAAAAACCTACTAGTTGTTAGTGTATTTTGTAATTGGCTTATTTTTGACAAATTAGTTGAAAAACTATTTTAGGCAGATTAGTTGTAATTTGGTGGTAAGCTTGGCTGGCACAATAAATAGGGAGCCTCTTAAGGAAAGTTTTGGTGGCACAGCAAATGAATTGATTTGATTACAAGGAGTGAAGAGTTGACTTGAAGGATGAATGGTGGGATAATCTTTAAGCTTGTAGAGGTTTTTTGAATGAGAGTGAGACGGCAGAAACTGTGTGTGTGCTGAACGTATTTTGTGTGACAGAGTGCTGAAAACAAAAGGTTGTGGATGTTCACGTGAGAATGAGATTGTAATGTTAAGAGTCGCTTGATGTGTTGTGACATTTTGTGAGAACACTTTTGAATTGGTTCTTCGGGAGAAGATTTCTTTAGTTTCGGGAGGAAACTATCAAGTCGAGTGGTGCTCGCTGATCAAGCGTTCTAAGGAGATTCCAGGCAACGGCCACATCGTCAAGGAGGGAGTCGTTGAGTGTGTAAGACCGTTCGGTCATTTGTAATCTTTGAAACTTAGTGGATTGATCACTATCTGGGCATGGCCCCGCAGAGTAGGTGTGCGCACCAAACTGCGATACCATTTTCTGGTGTTCTTTACGTTTCTACATTTAGTTTCCTGCATTTCTAATTTGCTGGTTTATTTTCAAAGTTTATGTTATAACAGTGTTACAGTAAAGTGTTGTAATACTTTCTATAACACCAGTAACTAAAACGAACCTTTCAATTGGTATCAGAGCGGTTGGTTCACTAACCGTTTGTTTGGTGAGATTTTGGGATTTTGTCTGTTACAGCAGGTATGGATTTCTTGAAAGAAGGCGGCTCAGTTTCACGTCCTCCACTTCTAAATGGTTCAAACTATTCCTATTGGAAAGCACGTATGAAGGCGTTCATCAAAGCTATCGATAAAAAGGCTTGGCGGGCTGTCTTGACTAGTTGGGAGCATCCCGTGACAAGGGATTCTGAGGGGAAGGAGATATTGAAGCCCAAAATTACATGGTCAACCGAAGAGGACAATTTGGCAAACAACAATTCTAGAGCGCTGAATGCCATTTTCAACGGGGTAGATGCGAGTCAATTCAAGCTTATTTCAACGTGTGAAACATCCAAGGATGCATTGGAGATACTGCAAATGGCTCATGAAGGCACGGCTGCCGTGAGGCTTTCAAAACTTTAAATCCTTACTACAAGGTTTGAGAATCTTTGGATGCAAGAACATGAAACAATCTCTGTGTTCAATTCAAAATTGTGATATAGCCAATGATGCATTTGCTCTTGGTGAGAAAATATCAGAGGAGAAACTTGTGAGAAAGGCTTTGAGGTCTCTACCACAGAGGTTTGCTTACAAGGTGACTGCAATCGAGGAAGCCAAGGATATTCGAACCATGAAACTTGATGAGTTAATGGGTTCTCTACGCACGTTTGAGATGAACTAATTAATCAGGAGATATTATTTAAATTAGGAGATGTCGCATATCTTTCCTAGTTTAGGGGACAGTTCCTATTTTTTAAGAAAGATCCTAGGAATATCTTGAGGATAGTTTCTCTATCCTATTAGGGTTCCTAGTTTCCCGATTCTGTTAGCCACGGGACCTAGGTCTTTTGTAACCTATTTATACTCCAGTTTTGTACCAATTAAATCAAGAAAGGAGTTATATTTTTCCTCAGAAACTTACATGGTATCAAAGCTTGGTTTAGGACTTTATCTCTGTTCGCCATGGCCAAGAATCCAGAAAACCTTCCTTCAACCCAAACCGTACCCTCTGCCTCTTCTAATAATGTTGATTTCAACCCTAATGCTTCCATTCAAATTACTACCGTACGATTGAATGGAATGAATTTTCTAGAATGGGCCCAATCAGTAAAACTAGCCATAGATGGCCGAGGAAAACTAGGGTTTCTTACAGGGGAGGAACCAAAGCCGAAGGATTCTGACCCTTCATTCCGAAAGTGAAGGTCTGAAAATTCACTCATCACTACATGGCTTCTCAATTCCATGGAGGAATCAATCTGGAAGCCATATCTGTTCATGTCAGCCCAAGAAGTATGGGAGGCCGTGTGTGAAACCTACTCGGACCTGGAAAATTTTTCATAAGCCTTTGAATTGAAAACTCGGCTGCTGAATTCCAAGCAGGGGGGGCAGATATCACTACGTATTACAACAGGATGTTGGCACTTTGGCAGGAATTAGACCTCTGCTATAATGACGAATCGGAGAATCCCAAAGACCTTGCTAGGTTTAAAAAAAGGGAAGAAATTGATCGTGTTTTTATGTTTTTAGCAGGGGTTAATGCAGGATTTGACGATGTTAAAGGGTGTGTTCTAGGCAGACGTCCTCTTCCTATAATCTGTGAAGTTTTTTCTGAACTTAGGCAAGAAGAAGGACGAAAGAGAGTCATGACTGGTTCATTCTTGCCACCAGTAGAGCCTGAAAATTCAGCCTCAGCAGTCCGTGGCAATGAGGGTGACCAAGACAAGAAAAAGAAGCCGTGGTGTGACCACTGCAAACGGCACTGGCACACCAAAGTTTCCTGCTGGAAGCTTCATGGGAAACCACCTAATTGGCAGCCAAATTGGAAGAAGAAACAGGAGGGAGGCAAGGCGTTAAACATTGTGACTGAGACTACTCCAGAGCCACCATTCACCAAGGAACAAATTGAGCATCTTCTCAAACTCTTTAAGTCTCCACAAATTTCTAATTCTCCTTCTACCTCTTATGCTCACCAAGGTAATCAAGCTCCTTCTGCCCTCACTTCCTCAAATATTTCTAGCCCATGGATCATAGATTCTGGTGCCACAGATCATATGACCAGTTGTTCCCATTTATTTTCCACTTACAGCCCTTGTGCAGGAAATAAAAAAATTCAAGTGGCTGATGGTTCGTTTTCAGCCATAGCAGGAACGGGTTCCATCAAAATTTCTCCATGTTTAACACTAAAAGATGTGTTACATGTTCCAAAATTGTCATGCAATTTACTGTCAGTCAGTAAATTAACTCTTGACCAAAACTGTCATGCTAATTTCTTTCCATCTTACTGTGAATTTCAGGACATGGCCTCTGGGAAGATGATTGGCAATGCTAAATTAAGTGG